CAGATAAATCAATTAGTTATTTTAAGCTAAGAATGGAACATGATTGTTAAATAATCCGTGACCCTGAAATATTATCTCCCATTGATTGTTATTTAAAACTATTTAAGTGTTGTGTTGATTTCTAGTATTTCATTACTTGATAGTCTTTAGGTAGTAAATTAGATAATTATCTATTTTATAAGAAATCGCTTGAATCGATAAGCTATTTGAGTTTGAATTAGTCAAAAGTTAATCATAAGTCCTCGTGAGAACGATACTCTATTCACTACTCTATTACTTGACGACCACGTATACTTGCGTGAGTGTGTTTGGTCCCAACAATAATATAGCATAAATAGGTAAAAATGGGTGAATCTTGATATCATCTTCATATAAGGATTAAGAGTCTTATGAGCTTTCTTCATTCTTCAATGTCGGGAAAACTATAATAATCAAACTATGATATTTTTATATACACAATTAACATAAGAAGAGCAACTGGACACCAGTGGTTAAAAAAGCCACTAAAATCTAAACTCATAACATTGTGATTTGAATTTGTAATTTCTTGATCATTGAATTGTCCCAAAAGGGCAGTCAAAACTCAAAAGTATGATTCACTACATGTTTCCAGGCGTTTGAACATGATTAGAAGCTATGGATATACAAAAGAATTAAAAGGAAAACGAAAGTAAAGGACGATTATATACTGATTTGTTTATGAATCAATGTCACACAAATGCTGTAATTTTGTCTTTTTTATTTAAAAAATATATATTTGGCGAAGAACCAACTTCTGTTAAACTGTCTAATTTGTCAAGACGTCTAGCAGTTTGCATACCTACCGCAAACCCACCAATAATTTAATTAATGTATAACCTCAATGTTTCCTTCTTATTCCTTTAACTCTGTGGAAATGCCACCACACATAGAAGACCAAAATAACACTTGACATATGGATGTTGGTACAAAAGGTAGCAGGCTTAACAGTTAACAGTAGTTTTAGTGAATTTGTAGTTTTCAAAAAACATTTATTCCTTTTATTTTAATTTATATGACATAGTTTGAATAGACATCTAATATTAGTCTTAGATTGCTCGTTTTTCCTTCGTGATGAGCCCAAGTTACGGCAGCTCCGGATTGTTCTTTTCGAAACAGATTAAAAAAAGTATATTACATAAATTGAGATAAAGTAAATTAAAAAATTATTAGATGTAGAACAATATTAAATATCTAGAAGGTTTTGCAAGGTCAAGAGTGAATGGAAGGAGACTAGAAAAAAGAAACGGCAAATGGTCAAATATATTCCTGTATTTTTGAAAATGATCTAAGAATACCCCTCGCTATACTATTGGGCTATATATACCTTTCCCGTCATACTTTGGAACAAATATACCCTTATTTTGGATGGAGTGCCACGTGTCAGCACCAGATGAAAATGACCAATTTTATTTTTTTATCCGATCCGTTTTTAAAAACCCACCACCCGACCCGTTTTAAAATTCAGTTCTTTTAAAGCATATATTTTGTAAAAATTAGATTTTTTTTTTTGTAAAAACTGAAAAAAAAAAGTAATTTGCAAAATATATATTTTTAAGTCTTTTTATTTTTTTTAAAGTATTTTTTTTGTAAAAACTGAAAAAAAAAATATTTTTTTTAAAAATGATTTGAAAACTGAAAAATATATATTCTATAAAAACTGAAAAAAGGAATTTGCAAAATATATATTTTTCGGTTTTTTCAGTTTTTGAAAGTATTTGTTTCGTAAAAATTGAAAAAAAAAAGATTTTGCAAAATATTTTCATTTTTTTAAAACTAATGCATATGTAGTCCACTGCTTTAGGAGAGTCTTTTTTTCCAGTTTTTACAAAAAACATACTTTAAAAAAACTGAAAAGACTTAAAAATATATATTTTGTAAATTCCTTTTTTTTTCCAATTTTTACGGAATATATATTTTTCAGTTTTTAAAGCATTTTTAATTTTTTTTCCAGTTTTTACAATAAAAATACTTTAAAAATACTGAAAAGACTTAAAAATATATATTTTGCAAATTAACTTTTTTTTTTTCCAGTTTTTACAAAATAAAATCTAGTTTTTACAAAATATATGCTTTAAAAAAACTGAATTTTAAAACGGGTCGGGTGGTGGGTTTTTAAAAACGGATCGGATAAAAAAATAAAATGGGTCGTTTTCATCTGGTGCTGACACGTGGCACTCCATCCAAAATAAGGGTATATTTGTTCTAAAATATGACGAGAAGAGTATATATAGCCCAATAGTATAACGAGGGGTATTCTCCGATCATTTTCGAAAGTATAAGAGTATATTTGACCCTTTGATAAAAAAAAATAAAAAATTGGATCTACCTTCCTTAGTAGTACAGCCTAAAACAAACCAACAAACATTCACATAGTCACTCATTTCCCAAGAATTTCTCACTCGTGAGAAATCAACACTAACTTTGAGAGATTCACTCAGTCCCAAGAATTAGCCACGGATTCAACACTAATCTTTTTGAATATATAAACAAACCAAAAACACACTTTTCTCCCCACGGTATCGGTCAACCGTTACTCGTCCAAAAACCAGTTAGCTTCCAAGAATTATCACAACACACAAATCCTACCCTTAAGAATCACCACCATCACCACCAACCACCACCACCACCAACGTCATATAATGTCGTCTTCTCCGGTCGGTGTCGCCACCTCAGATAACGGTTTTTCTGGTAGTTTAGCCTCGCCATGTTGCACCAATAACTCAAAGGATTCCATGGAGGATTTAGTTGCTTTGAAGATCAGCCTCTTGGGTGATTATCATATTGGAAAGACTAGTTTTTTGGTTAGTCCTTACTACTAGAATTATCTTTCCATGCAACATTATCGGCATGCAGAGGTAGATGTAGAATTTAAATGTAATAGGTGCACCCAGGGATGGAAGTAAAGGAAGGCAATATAATAGGTTTAATGAATTTCATTCGCTTGAAAATTAGACTGCAGGAATAGGAGAAAAATAATTTTTTGAATTACATATCAACCATTATTATATAAATTCCTTATTTCACCACATCTTAATTCATCTGCATATTTTAGAACATTTTTTCTAGTATTCTATATATTCGTGTGTATTCTTACTATTCGAGTTTATATATTGGATCTCTCTAGCTTGAAACTCGTTATTTCCATATGTAATCATGTTTTTTTTTCATTCAGACAAAGTATGTAGGAAAGGAGAAAGGGGAAGAAGGTTTTTCAATAACAGGGTTAAACCATATGGACAAAACTCTGTGTGTTAGAGGTGCTAGGATCTCCTATAGCATTTGGGAAGTCGAAGGTATATAAATCCAATTCCTTCTTTAATTTATTTTATCTTAAGCAGTAGCATTCTAAAGATACAACAATGTGAACAAGAACTAATTGTTTAAGGAGAAATTTTCTAAATTAATCTTGACGATTCGATAATTATAATGCAGGTGACGTTTCTCATATTCCAGTAGCTTGTAAAGACTCAGTAGCAATGTTGTTTATGTTTGATCTCACAAGTCGGTGTACGTTGAATAGGTATGAGTCTCTTTTTTCCTCCTTTTTAAGAAGATGAAATTAACTAGAGGATGATTACCTGTGATTATCTTGGTGAATAACAGTGTCATTAGCTGGTATCAACACGCACGGAAATGGAATCAGGTAAGAAGATCGAAAGTTTCCTTTTATATTTTCTTGATTTATGTTTCCTGTAATTTGTTCTTTCTAGATGAAATATTAAAGGGTATATGTTAATGTGATTTCCATTTTGTTTTCAGACAGCCATTCCAGTTCTAATAGGGACCAAGTTTGATGATTTTGCCCAATTACCATTAGATGTCCAATGGACGATAGCTTTACAGGTATCATTCTCTTAATTTATGTGTGACACCAATCAAGGATGAAAAGCATTGAATTCTAAAGTATTGCTTAAGAAAAAATAAAGTTCATTTGCTAACAAGTTTTAGGAATTTCGATATAGATTTAAGATACAATATGCATCGACAATATAAAAAAAATTCAGATTATCAATTGTTAATGTTGTTTAATTTGCATGTTAATTATTATTTTTACTAGGTTACAGTTAATACTTTTCATAGAAATTTACTAGTTATTAACTTAATAGTGGTGTGATTGTAATTTTTTATGTCAGTCAATACGGTTAAGCTTAACTCAATTTGTACTCATTGTGTTCCAATGATTCTTTGAACAGGCAAGAGCATATGCTAAGGCACTAAACGCAACCTTATTCTTCTCAAGTGCAACCTACAATATAAATGTGAATAAGATCTTCAAGTTCATTACAGCCAAGATCTTCAACTTACCATGGACATTGGAGCGTAATCTCACCATTGGAGAACCCATTATAGACTACTAGATTTTCTTCCATTTTTTTTTTGTATTAATTGAACCCCTCTTTTCCCAAAGAAGAAAACAAGATAAAAAAAAACATTTTGAATGTAGATATGAGAAAATTTGTAAATCTCCTAGAAAAACAAATGACTCTGCATAGTCAACCGGTCACTGGATCTTGTTAGTATTGCTACGACCAGTGAAAATTCGGGTTGACTTGGTATGTCATTTTGTAAAATGGAGAAATCTGGATAACATTTTTCTTGTTTTCTTTCTACTGCACTATGACGTTTACAATTTTTTTAACAGAGGATTTACTGTGTCGGGCCCTCCCAATGTTGAAGTCCCAATATAATGGCTAGAGATAAATGGCACTTCATTGCAAATGCATCTATTTTCGGTCGAAAACTTTCTGCTTGTTTTCAGTTACTTCATTATCGGAACAGAGTATTTCTGTCCCAACCTGAAATTCCCACCTTCGGGACCGTGATGACGCCTAACATTTTACTTGCTAGACAAGCCAACGTTGGAATAATTTTAACTATTTTTTTTAATAATTTAATTTAATTAATAATAAAGAAACTAATAACTGGAATACAATCTGAAATAAAGTGAGTAAACCATAGTAATAACGATGTCTAAATACCATCTCAGATCTAGTGTCACAAGTGCACGAACTACTACTAGAATAATACAAATAAGGGTCTGAATGAAAGTAAAATTGTCCGACAGAAATACACAGCTAAAATAAAGTAGATGGGGACTTTAGAGCTGCGAACGCCGTGCAGCTATACCTCAAGTTTCCTCTGGATAGCTGAATCCGAGCAAATCTACTGTACGCCGCTGGGACCAACTCCGATATCTGCATAAGAAGTGCAGAGTGTAGTATGAGTACAACCGACCCCATGTACCTAGTAAGTGCCGAGCCTAACCTCGACGAAGTAGTGACGAGGCTAAGGCATGTCACTTACATTAACATGTACNAGAAATTAAATCGGTAAATCATATCAACAATCAATCCAACTCCGCAATCATAACCAATTATTACTTAAATCACTTTCCGTTGCTGCGTGTAACCCGATCCCATAATATATTCATATTCAATTCCGTTACTGCATGCAATCCGACTCCACAATATATTTATTTTCATTTAATTTCGTTGCGGTGTGCAACCCGATCCTCAAATATATTCACTTTCAATCAATTCTGTTACGGCGTGCAACCCGCTCCTCCAATATATTCACTTTCAATCAATTCTGTTGCGGCGTGAAACCCGCTCCTCCAATATATTCACTTTAATTTCTGTTACGACGTGCAACCCGTTCCTCCAATATATTCACTTTAATTTCTGTTGTGGTGTGCAACCCGCTCCTCAATAATATAATTTACCAATTCTTATAAAAGAAATTATTCCAATAAATGCAATAATTAATATGAAATTATAAGACAACAAGCATATAATAATTATGATTTATTTAGAAACAAGTGATGACAAGTAGCAATTAATTGTTAAAATTAAGGAGGAAATAGGCAATTTAATATTTAGTATGCTAAGTGTCAAGTAATAATTAAGTCACATAAATCAAATAAGCATGTAGCAAATATAGCATGGATTCAAGGCATAATATTGAGCAAGGAATATGAGAAAAATAATTAATATAATAATTAATTCATGATTTAAAATAATTTATGATTTTCAGATAAATGTGCAAACAATCAATTTGATGACGTATAATCACTCGTCACCTCGCCTATACGTCGTTACACATGAAATTCACGTAACAATAATTCAAGGGTTCTATTCCCTCAAGTCTAGGTTAACCACGATACTTACCTCGCTTCGCAACCAAATTCAAGATTCCAATAAACTTTTGCCTCGCGAATTGATGTCCGAAAGCTTCAAATCTAGTCACAAACAATTCAATATTCTGAACACGAACCGTAGGAATTAATTATATATGAAATTACTAATTTTTCGGATTAAAATCCGAAATTTATTTTAAAAACAGACAGTGTGACCCACGTCTCGAATCCAGGAAAAACTCACGAAATTTGAACATCCGTTCCGATACGAGTTTAACCATACAAAAATTATCGAATTCTGATATCGGATTGGCTTTCAAATCTTAAATTTTTATTTTTGGAAGATTTTATAAAAATTTGATTCATGATGTAAATGAGTATGGAATCATGAAATATAACTAATTTCGGATAAAGAATACTTACCCAACTCAAACTCGTAAAAAATGCCTATGAAATCGCCCAAAATCGAGGTCTAAAACTCTAAATATGAACAAAAGTATCGGACTCTGGACATATATATTGTCCAGGCAAGTCGCATATGTGAGATGCGACTTGTCTCAAAATTTTCAAGCCAAAAATTACGGTACCAACCTTCAGTCAATCGATCATAACTTTCTGTATAAATGTCCAAACGATGAATGGTTTACTTTCTAGAAACTAGAATCAAAGGGTTACAACTTTCATGTTTTGATAATTTCTAGATTCCTTATAGATTGCGAGATATAAGCTTCCAAAGTCAACTCTGCGCATTAGAAATTTCGCACACTGCTGTGAAAAACCAACAGTTAAAAATGACCTAAAAATGGTCCGAAACCACTCCGAAACTCACCCGAGCCCCTCGGGACCCCTTTCGAACACACCAACAAGTCTCAAAATATATTATGGACCTACTCGAGGTCTCAAATCACACATAACAATGGCGAAACTACAAATCGCGCGTCAATTCGGACTTATGAGTTTATGAAATTTTTAATTCTATAACTCGCGCCGAAACATGCCAAATCAATTCAGAATGAACTCAAATTTTACATGCAAGTCGTAAATGATATAATGGAGTTGTTCCAATTTCCAGAATCAAATTCCGACCCCGATATCAATAAAGTCAACTCCCGATCAAACTTTCTAAAAGTCTTATATTTTTCAACTTTCGCCAAAATGCGCCAAATTGTCCTACGGACTTCCAAATCCAAATCCGAACATGCGCCTAAATCCGAAATCACCATACAAAATTATTGAAATCATCAAAATTTCATTCCGGGGTCATTTGCTCAAAAGTCAAATCTCCGGTCAAACTTTAGAAATTCAAGCTTTATAAAATCAAATCTTTTTTTTTTCAAAAACTAACGGAAAACATGCCTACGTACCTCGGAATAACTTCAAATTTAGTACATAAGTCATAAATATATTTACGAAGCTGATCGAACTCTCGGAATCTAAATCGGGACCTGGTATCAACAAAAACCCAATTATGACCAAATTTAGAAATTCTTAAACCTTTAAATTTATAGTTTCCGTTAAATGCCTATAATTTGAGCTAGGGACCTTCAAATTTGATTTCGGGCATACGTCCAAATCCTAAATAACGATACAGATCAACCGAAACTGTCATAAATATTGATCCGGGTCGGTTAGCTCAAAACGTTGACCGAAGTCAACTCAGTTGTGTTTTAAAGCTCCATTTCACATTTTAATCAATTTTTCATATAAAAACTTTTCGTAAAAATTTACGGACTGCGCACGTAAGTCGAGGAATACTGAATAGTACTTTTTGAGATCTCAGAACAATGAAATAAATATTTAAAATTAAAGATGGTATATTAGGTCATCACAATTTCAAAGTTCAGTCTCAATTTATGTGATAGTGTTTGACTGAGTACGGAGTTATAAGAAAAAAAGAAAGACTACTTTAGGTTTAAAACAAGTTGTAAACATTTGTTTGACAATAAATTATTTCATTAAGTTTAAAATAAAAAGATTAAAGTTAAATTTTTTTTAATAAAGGAGTTTGATATTCTTTTCGGAATAAACTAAAGAAAGCATAACAAATTAATTGAGACAAATGAAGTATTAGTTTTCACCCAAGTGAAGTGAACTATTATTGGAACTAGTTGGTAAAAAAGAAGGGGGAAGGTCGAGTTCAACCTCTAAGTTCTAAGAAGTAGGGGTGTCAACGCTTCGGTTCGGCCGATTATTTTATAAAATCTGTATCATACCAATTTTTCGATTAGTCTATTATGTATAACTAAAATTAGACTTTTCGAAACCATACCAATCATATCGTTTGCTCTTTGGTATCGGTACAGTTCGTTTAATTTTCGGTATTTTTTTAAATATCATGTACAAGTCACTAGTAACAGTAGAATGCAATAATATACATACATACATACATACATACATACATACATACATACATAGGACTTAGCAAACTCTCTAGATAATTTTACTATTTAAATGGTGATAAATTAAGAAAATATGAAAGATGACCAGAATATAAATCCATTAACTACTCTACAACAACGTAAATAAACTAAACAAAGACAAAGAAAAGATAAATCACACGAGTAGAAAGATATTAACCAAGCTGAGACTCAAGAATAAAGTCTGTAAAAGATTAAATATTTAAAAAGATAAATCTAAATCATACGAAAGAAAACATATTCAATACATTGTAGTTTGCTACTCATAATCGCTAGAATACTTTGTGTCTTGCTAATGAATATGCTAGAAATAATTTAGCTAGCGTTTGGCCATAAATTCCCAAATTTGTTTTAAAATATCTGATTTGGATGAAGGTTGGTTTGAAGATGAAAATCTGTTTGGACATAATTTTTCAAAACATATTTCAATTTTGTCTTTAAAAAATATGAAATGTGACTTATACCCATAAGTTTTAAAAACTATCAAAAATACCCAACAAATACAAAACAAGCGAAACAAATCTGAAAAAAATTCATACAAAACAAGAGAAACAAATCTGAAGAAAATTTATACAAACATTAACAGATTTTAGCAAATTATCTTTAAATTTTATTTTTGCAGTAGATTGCCACAGATTGGCACAACAACTTTGGCGAAGATTTTCTTTTGTTTATAGAGAAGGGCAAAGCCACGTGAGTTTAATGAGGGAAAAATAGGTAGATATGGATTAGTTGGGTCATAATAACAGAAAGTGGATTTTTTTTATAAAATATAAAAGTTTAGGGCAGTTTTTGAATTTTTTTTTAAAAACCAAATATAATATTTTGGGCCAAAAACAACTCTTGAGCTGGTTTTGGGATTTGAATATTTGCAAAAATATGGATAAAATCTATAAACTAACAAGTATTTGTCAAAATAATTTTGAAAAAAATTTGGCAAAATCTATGGCCAAACGGGGGCTTAGTTTTAGTAGGAGTAGCATAATAGGTTTGAGAATTAAGATTTTGATTTTAATTACTTGTTGGCTAGTAACTATTTTTATAATTCAAAGGACCAAGAAAAAATTTATATTTTTAAACTTAATA